GATAGATAGATAGATAGATAGATAGATAGATAGATAGATAGATAGATATACATGCATACATACATACATACATACAGACAGACAGACAGATATCTGACCATCTTGTAACCAGCAGGCAACTTAACTGAATTATAGCATATGAAATACGATCCATCCTTTGTGTTCTCCACATGATTGCTCCCAGGATATTTTACAGCTAAATCATCCAGAATAATTATATCTTTGTATTGTCAGTAATAAAACTATTTTCTTCTTCACAAAGGAAAATTGAACTGAATTTATCCTCAAATGATTAAACTTCCAATTATAGCAATGCTGTAGTACCTGGAGGTGCACTTTGTATCTACTGCATTTCAAAGAAGTGAAAAATTCATTTTCTTGGCTCATTCATATCTTTCATTCTCTGGAAAGGTTTCCTTTAATCTGATTTTATAAATAGACATTCCTTTTTTTATTTACTGCTGCAATTTCTCAGTTTGTTGTTCCTTATAGTTGAGTAAATTTATCAAAGGCCTACTAAGCTTTGCTGCAAGTAGCAAAAACACAAGAAGTTTTTCTCACTGTCCTTGTGTTCATAGGGCCATTTATAATCCACATAACTTTATTGGGGTCATTAACTGGCAGAAAGAAACAGGAAAAGAAAATAGTATTCAAATATCAAGAACATCAAAAAATAAATAAGGAGGCGCAATGCATAGCTAACAAGCATCATTCTTATTAATTAAAACTAATAAAATTAGCTGTAATTTTATTTTGGGCTTAACTGTGGTCGTAAGCTGAGGACATCCTCAATTTACGACCACAATTGAGCCCAAGATTTATGTTGTTAACTGAGAAATTTGTTAAGTGAGTTTGGCCCCATTTTACGATTTTTCGCACCATATTTGTTAAGTGGATCCCTGCAGTTGTTCAATTAGTAACGGCTTTCCCATTGAATTCTGCTTGTCAGAAGGTCGCAAAAGGGGATGTAATACCTCTACATAAAATTTGGACTCTTGGCTGCTTACAAAGAAGGGAATAAACAAGAAAGTTAACCAACCATCTTTTTGATAATGGCTACATCCCAACCTCTTCTTCAATTTTAAGAAAGCAGAAAGCATGCTCAGAGATAGCCTTCAAACGGTGTTTTTTTTTTTTTTTTGAAGATATAGGACAAATTTTCTCAACAAGAACTACACTCCTGTTCTGGCACAAACCCTTTTCCAATAAAACAAACAACGAACCAAAGGGAACAGAAACCTTTTAATGAGTCTTACGAATCCCTGGTTAAAAGGCTGCAAACTAATTAACTTTGATAAACAGTAGTGTGCAAGGCTGCGAAGAATCACAGATAAGAAATATTTCACAACACAAGAGTCTTCAAATACTAACTTAAGATACTGCAATGTCCACGAGGCTGGAGTTTCAAAACATTTGCTTCCTACAAAGAACTGATTCACAGCTGGCTTTCATCTTCTTGAAGGTTGGGCCATTACCTTGCAGCCTTACTCCTGAGTTGCCCGTGCTGTTGAAGCTGCTCTTTCCTGCAAGCAGCCCTGCACACACACGTACTTGGCACAGGCTCCTCGGGAACCTCCTCATCGCTGCTGCCAGCCCCCACAATCTCTGAAGGCAGCAGTCCACTCCCTAATGGTCCTGGTCCCTCATCTGAGTCCTCGCTCTCCTCAGCCATCCGCACCTGCTGCCGGCTAACCACAACAACTCCGCTTGTCTTAATGAACTGCTTTAGTATTTATAACTAACGTTTCCCAATTTTGGGCAATTTTGAGATGTGTTGACTTCAATTCTCAGAATTCCTAGTCAAAATGGCCATTGCTAAGAATTATGGGAGTTGAATTCCATACAACTCCCAAGATATTTTTGTTCTGCAGTTCAGTTATGCACTTTTTAAAATACACATTTCTTTCTATTTCTAGGGCAACTGCTACTCACAGAGGTCAAATTATATTCAAGGATGCCTTAGCCCAGCAGTTGTGTGAACAAGGAAGTAAGTGTTTGCTTGTTTATTTATTTATTTTTTCTGTAATTTTAACTTGTATTAATTTAAATTTTTAAGTTGGTCAAGAAGCAGCAGTATCCCAGTTGTTGTTTTTTTACAGGGATGAGTATAGAAATATCCAGAACAAAAAGTCTCATCTATTCTGTATTATGCATTGTGTATCATCACAAACAAATTGTGTCAGCATTTCAAACGAATTCCAAAATTCTGATTAAAAGGAAACCAAGATTAGTTCACATCAGAGTTGGAAAAGGCTACTTCTGTCTCATCCAAATTTTATTATAAATTCCTTTATTTATAAGTGAGTGGGGAATAGTTTAGAATTATTTAGTCAAATATCACAAAGGCTTATGCACAGAGAAATGAAAAGAAGCATAGCCAAGAATAATTGCATCTGTTCATTTTTTAATAAGCATTGATTTGTTCTGTTTAGATTTTGATTTAAGCACAGAGCAAACCAAGCATGAGTTCCTTGGGGGAATTTAGCCTTTATTAAAGTAGAAAAAAAAGAACAAGAAACAAAAGGAAAGGGCTACGAAGAATGGTGACTATTGACCCCCAGCTTGTAAAGAGATGCATGTGGTAGCTTTACAGCGACCCAGACAAACATAAGGAATTTTTCCCATTCTTATTTATGAAAGAAGAAGCTTTATGGGAACTATTCCATGTGCTTGGAAAATTGTTCTTTTCATAAGTGAGAACGACAGCATCCCTGCAGGCAACTGTCACAATCTCCATTGTGGATCCCTTGTTACGGAAGTCATAATAATGACATATTTTTCAGTATTAATGCGAACATTCCCATGAAATAAACTTTTAACCATTGGAAATCTTCCAAGTTGTCCATAGCCTGTCAATCTCAAAAGCTGGAGACTCAGATTTGACAGTAAGAAAGGAAATTAAGCCCACACAAATGACACCAATATGGTACATTCCTCCATATTATATAGTTAACATAATGTAATGTAATGTAACAGAACAGAACAGAACACAACAAACATAACAATATACCGTAATACAATACAATACAATACAAACAATACAATAAAATACCGTTAGTTATATTACATTAGATAGTTAGAACTGCAGAAAAAGCAATTGCTACTAACCTGCCTTCCATCAAGGACCTGTATACTGCATGAGTCAAAAAGAGGGCTGTGAAAATATTTACAGACCCCTCGCATCCTGGACACAAACTGTTTCAACTCCTACCCTCAAAACGACGCTATAGACAGTGGTGGGATTCAGCCGGTTCGCGCCAGTTTGAGAGAACCGGTTGTTAACTTCCTGAGCAATTTGGTGAACTGGTTGTTGGAAGAAATCATTAGGGCAGAGAACCGGTTGTTCAATTATTTGAATCCCACCAATGGCTATAGGGCACTGCATACCAGAACAACTCCACACAAGGACAGTTTTTCCCCCCATGCCAACCACTGTGTTAAACAACTAATTCTCACAACATTGTCAACCTATCTAGTAAGGCTGTATTACTATTATTCTTCTCATCTTTCCTATCTCCTTATCTTCTTGTGACTATATCTTTTTTGCCTGTATCCAAGATTTATATTGTTTTATTCAGTATCCCAGTATGATTTATGCGATTGCTTATTTAGTATCCTTAAGTGTTTTATCTTATGATTTACGATGAATGTATTTTTACAATGTTAACAGATAACAGATAATCAGAGTTGGAAGGGACCTTGTAGGTCATCTAGTCCAACCCCACACCCAAGTGGGAGACTCTACACTATTTCTGACAAATGGCAGTCCAGTCTCTTCTTGAAAGTCTCAAGTGATGACGCTCCCACAATGACTATGATTATGATTTATCACTTGTTGCTTGTATGTACACTGAGAGCTTATGAACTGGAGACAGATTCCTTGGCCAATAAAAAATTCTAACTTCTAACTTCTAATATAGAACAAATTGTCCATTGCAAGAGACAGGTATAGTTAAAATTTAAGAAGATTATTGAGATGGCTGAGGCCAGCACATCAAATGGGAAGGGTTGGTCATAAAGCTCCCAGAGAAAGGAAGTCTAACTGTTCTAACTTGAGAATTCAGACTCTCTTACCTTCTCTTTTTCCAAGATCTTATTATGGGGTATAATTCAATTTTTCCCTCAAAATGTAAGTAAATGAAGGTTAAAATTCTTTATGACCATGTCAAACTAAAAATTAAACTTCCATTCATTTTTCCCAGATCAGAATTGGATTTAAAATAAACCTTGGGGTTTTTTGAACTGGTAAAATTCTTACTTGAAGCTGCAGTACTGTGAAAAATGGATTAAAAATGTATTTTAAAAACTGCCCACTGTTTTTTAATACCAGAAAACATCAATTTTATATAATATTCTTGCTGTGTGACATTTTGAGACTTTATTTAAAATATATGAAGGTCAAAACTGCAGCTTACCGTAATAAAATATAGCTTGCAATAAAGAAATTATTATGAGGGATATGAAAGTATGTTCATCACCCGTTTAATGGTATCTTCGTAGTTCCTTTTATAATTTCTGAAATGAAGAATTAGAATTTGAAATTAGTATAAGATACTGGAGGCAAAGAAAGTGTATGGTTTTTCAGACACATTAAAAAAGAGAGAGAAATGAAGCAACTTTAGCATTCAGTTTTATGATCAAGAAGTTAAAAACTTAACTTTTGATACGTGCTGCTCAATCTTACAAATAATTTATTTCAACCAAAGTGCAGCCATGACTTCTAGAGGAGATATTTCTTCCACTGTACTTACCCTATATATAAAAATCCCAACGACAAAAATATTGCCAAGACAGTTAACAGATAAGAGATAATCAGAGTTGGAGGGGACCTTGTAGGTCATCTAGTCCAACCCCCCGCCCAAGCGGGAGACCCTACACCATTTCTGACAAATGGCAGTCCAGTCTCTTCTTGAAAGTCTCAAGTAATGAAACTTCCACAACTTCTGAAGGCAACTTCTGTTCCATTGGTTGATTGTTCTCACTGTCAGAAAGTTTCTCCTTATTTCCAGGTTGAATCTCTTCTTGGATCAGTTTCCATCCATTATTCCTTCTCTGGCCTTCAGGTGCCTTGGAGAATAGCTTGACCTCTTCTTCCACTCTGTGGTAGCCCCTCAAATATTGGAAGGCTGCTATCATATCATATTTTAGTCTTCAGCTCCCTAATCATCCTGGTTGCTCTTCACTGCACTTTTTCTCGAGTCTCAATATCTTTTTTATAATGTGGTGACCAAATTGGATGCAGTACTCTAGGTGTGGTCTTATTAAGGCTTTATAGAGTGGTATTAGTACCTCCCTTGATCTTGACTGTATCCCTCTGTTAATACAACTTAGGATTGCATTAGCTTTTTTGGCGGCTGCTGCACACTGCTGGCTCCTATTTAGCTGGTTGTCCACTAAGATTCCAAGATCCCTCTCATAGTTACTACCAAGATCCCTCTCACATACATTAAGCTAGTTACTTCTATGCTCTAACCTGACTTCAGAGCAACACACATTGATTTAATTGTAGTTACTATAGGTTGGTGGTAAGTGGTGCGGTGGCCTAGCGGTAGAGCTCTCGCCTCACAATCAGGAGGCTGTGAGTTCGATCCTAGGTAGAGGCAGATATTTCTCTCTCTGGGCATACTGAGAATGTATCTGCTGAACAAAACTCCTCACTGGAGACAGGAAAGGCATTCGGCCATTAAACATTCTTTTAGGTCCATTCAGTTGCTCAGACTCCACCCTGCAGGGGATTATGGGGTCATTAATTGACAATGACGCTTAAATGAAGATACTACGTATAGAATAGAATAGAATATAATTCTTTATTGGCCAAGTGTGACAAGGAATTTGTCTATGGTGCATAAGCTCTCATTGTACATAAAAAAATATTCATCAAGAATCATAAGACAACACTTAGTGATAGTCATAGGATACTAAAATACTTATACTTTCCATTTTTGAAAGCTTTGCCTCTCTTTTCCAACACTTTAATGTTCAAAGTTTGCTACAGTTAATCGGGGGGAAAATCTGTTTATTTTCTTTTTGTTCTTTTGCAGGTCCAACAGAAGCTCCCTTCCATCCTCTTTTAGGTAGGTCAACAAGTTACCGTTTTGGTTTTTAAAAACCGCAGTTCTGGTTGCCCAAAGTAGAATGCTTGAATGATTGCATTTTAAAAATAATATCCCATTTGAAAATATCCACCTAGGTCAAATCGATCGATTTTTATTACAGTCGCAGAGCAGCGTTACAAACAAAAGCATTTTAAAAATGGTAATAGTAAAAAAATAATCAAAGACAGACACAATAATACATTGTGACTGGTGGTAAAATTATCAGCAGAAATTTAGAGTCTGCCTAATTTTGCATACAATTTTCGTAACATTCATAAAATAATTTGTCCACATTCAGAGAAACTGCTTCGTACTGATCTGATAACAGTCATTGCACGTAAAAGAGTTCAGTACAGGTAATCCTCTACTTACAACAGTTCATTAAGTAACCAAAGTTACAACGGCACTGAAAAAAGGGACTTATGACCGTTTCTCAGAGTTACAACCTTTGTAGTATCTCCATGATTATGTGATCAAAACTCAGATGCTTGACAACTGGTTCATACTTATGACTATTGCAGAGATCCCCTTTTGTGACCTTCTGACGAGCGAAGTCCATGGGGACGCCAGATTCCCTTAACAACCGTAAAGAAAGGTCATAAAATGGGACAAAGCTCACTTAACAAATGTCTCGCTTAACAACAGAAATGTGGTCATAAGCTGAGAACTACCTGTAATTCCTGGATATTTTATTAGGTGAGGTATTATCAATAGTGTCTGTGAGCTCTTGTAGGTCAAAAAGAATGGGAAGAAAAATTATATTAACTAATTGCATGGATGTGTATTCCAGTAGGCCCAAATAAAATCCCACGTTTATAACCCCTCAAATCTCTTCGCTTCAGGTGCATAAAAGGAGCTTGAGAAAGCAACAGGGGGTTGTAATAACTGTATTTCTAGATTAATCCCAGATTGCACTGGAAATCATAACTGAGCCTTTTCCAGCCTGTTGTGCGTCCCCTAAATACTTAGCAAAAGAGAGAACAGATGAAGCTAGCAGATGGCTCTCTGACTCTCACAAATATGTTTGTGCTCATTTGTTTATGACTTTGGCCCTGTGCAGACAGTGGGATTTTAATTTTGGCAGGGCTTTCCTGTCCGTGTAGGCGAGGAAGAAAACTTAGCAACAGCCCCTCAGTGGGCAAAACTACGATCAGGTTTACAGCTCAAAATGTATTTATGTTGTTGGCTACGACGAAAATATTGTAAGACCAAACTTGGGTTTTCGAAAAGCAAACAGCTATATATAGTTGTGTGTTAGATTGAGATTGAAATATTTATTGCCCAGTTGCAGAAACAATTTCCAAGATCATAAGACAAGCCAACTCTCATCTGATGCGAGGTCGGAAGTTCTGCAAAGAGTGACTGTGGGACGGTGATGATGGATTGTGCTCTATCAAACCATTTTCATACCCTAGATAGATTTTTCTCTGGGAATGGTCCCGTGTTTGAACTAAACAAGCCTGTAAAAACTTCAAAAGCTGATAATGTTCTTGGGACACCGAAACCGTCTATTCTGCTGTGGTTATCCTGATTTGATTCAACAGAGACATTCTTTCATGTAAGCAAAGCGTAGGTAGTTTGAGATTCCCTGCATATTTATTTATTTAATCAATTTGTTTTTCCTAAAAAATAACACTTAGACTTATATACCGCTTTATAGTGCTTTAAAGCCTTCTCTAAGCGGTTTACAGAGTCCGCCTCTTGCCCCCAACAATCTGGCTCCTCATTTTACCGACCTGGGAAGGATGGAAGGCTGAGTCAACTGCTTGAGCCTGGTGAGATTCAAACTGCCAAATTGCAGTCAGCCAGCAGTCAGCAGAAGTAGCCTGCAGTACTGTACTCTAACCACTGCGCCATCATGGCTCATAGGAGATATTAGGCACACCGGACAAATTTAGTTTGTCTAGACATGTTATAGGTTGTTTTCTCTTTCATTTCAGCTGAGATGCACAGCAACAGCATCATATTACGGGATGATTTTGATTCTTATCACTTGCAAGGATTGAATCCTACGATGTGGTGAGTTCAGCCGCCCTAACTCTAGCATCCAGAAGATAAATGAGTTTCAAGGAATGAAGGAGGGAGGGAAGGAAAGGAAGGAAGAGCAACAACAATAACACTTAGACTCTTTACAGCCCTCTCTAAGCGGTTTACAGAGTCAGCCTATTGCCCCCAACAATCTGGGCCCTCATTTTAATGACCTCGGAAGGACAGAAGGCTGAATCAACCTTGAGCCGGTCAGGATCGAACTCCTGACTGTGGACAGAGTCAGCCTGCAATGCTGCATTGTAACCACTGAGCCATCATGGCTGGAGGGAGGGAGGGTGGAAAGAAGAAAAGGAAGGAAGGAAGATAGGAAGGGAGGGAGGGAGGGAGGGATGAAGGAAGGAAAGAAGGAAGGAAAGAAGGAAGGAAAGAAAGAAGGATAAAATGGTATGGTAGTAGGATTGTGACCCATAACTAACCAAAGGGTTTAGCTCATTTTCAAATCTTCCTGAGCTTTGCTGCTCAATGGATATACAACTTGATACACTCTGATCGTCTGAAACTCTGAACAGTTTCTTGATTTAAATACAGGAGACAGTCTTTTCCATAGCACTGAGGTTTGGGAAAACAAATGTTTCCTTAATGGACATTGTTTTTAATAACAGCATATTTACAGCCTCCTAGTCTTGGAGAGTCCTTTGACAATCTCTGTGGGTGCCATCTGTTGCGATGGCATCATGCCTTTCTATTAACCGATCAAGGCTTTCTGTAGTAGAGCTTTCCGTGTCTAGTAGCTGTTTGTGCAATCATTTCAGCTTGTTTAATCTCTGCATAAGACCAGTACCTGATGCCCTTAATAGATGCTTTTGAGAAAGCAAAATATGCCTTGTTTTGGGGGTCTCAAATGCCTGCCACAAAAGCCATTGATAATCGTGCTCATGTCAAGCCTCCTACAGATGGCAAGGATCAGGGAAGCAAGCAAGGGATTACACAAACGCTATTAAAGGTTTCTGTAATGCAGGCGTTAGGGGAAAATCTGGAATCTGGAAAACCACAAGCAGCACATCCAAACTTAATTGATTAGTGAGTTCATTAAGACAGAATCTCTTGGAGGGTTGTGTTATGAATTATTTTTTGCCAGCTGGACTGAGTTGCTGTTTGTGAGATAAGCAATTAAGTGGAGTGAGTTGCTGTTTGTGAGATAAGCAACTAACAGACTCCCTTTCTATCTCTCTGTTGTTTATGTCTAACACTCTCTTCATTACACTCCCAGACTCCTCTTACAGTTAGCAAAATGCTAACTAAGTTGATTACTAAGTGAAAGCTTAGTAACCAAACAGTTAAAATCAGCTGTCTCCTATTTATATCATGGTCATCATGTTAATCCTTTAATTTCAACCAAACCAAGTGCAAATATATATTTATGGTCTAAACCAGGGGTCTCCAACCTTGGCAACTTTAAGACTTGTGGACTTCAATTCCCATGGGTGTTGAAGTCCACACATCTTAAAGTTGCCAAGGTTGGAGACCCCTGGTCTAAATCACAATGGGCAGATATGGAAAATGGACAACCATAAAACTAGAAGAAGCTTGGAAATTTCCTGGAAGATAATCAACATGACAAGACCCTTTAAGACAGAAATCTAACTATATCACTGTGTCTGTGTCTGCAAAGCCAAGTGTATTTTTACGTTAGCATTAGGCAAGCTTTAACAATTACGCAAAACACACAGAATTGTGTGACATAATGGTGAAGATGTTGGATGGATTGCTAGCGTTGGGTTGCTCGTCAACCATGGAAGCACATGGGTTGACTTCAAGCCAATCATTCTTTCTTCTCTCAACCTTCCTCCCAAGGTTTGTGTTGGGGGTGAAATTGGAGTTTTGTATATGCCACATAATCTGTTATATTTTAAGAGAAGAACCTAGATAATAGTTGAGAAAAAGCTGTTTACTTCTCTTGACTCTTAACAGGATATTTTGCCATGTCTTGGATAGAACAGGGAAAAGTTTTGTGGGGTTTAATATTTTCAACCACAACATTGCTAAGGCCCATGTGGACAATAATCTGCTCCTTAACTATGTATTCAAGATGGACAGTGATTAATACTTATATGTATTTATATGTTAGGGTGTACATACATATGTAGATGGCTTATCTATAGTCGTGTTATGTATGTGCAAACTATTGAGAGCAGACAACAGAATTTCATTTTTAATGTGTGCCGGAGTGCCCACAAAAAAAAAATAACAATAAAGATGATCTTAAACCTCCTGCTCAAGGAGAAGAACCTGCACCATTTCATTTCAGACAACTAAAGACTTTTGTTCCTTAACTTAAGATGGGCTCCAGTTTGAGTCTGAAAGCGTGGAAGACAAACCTTTTGGTCCCAGTGACCGACCCAGATTGGATCCTGCAACATTATCCTGGGACACGTATATTCGCATTCGTTCATTAAGACTTTTAAGCACAATATTCCCTTTGAAGCCACATGATGTTCAAGATATTCAGCTGTCCTTCAGTGATGGAACATCCACAGCTTCTGAACTAGCCTGTCTCCAGAAGTTGTGGGTGTTCCACCACTGGAGGTTTTCAAGAAGAGCCCGGAGACCCCTTTGTCTGGAAGGATATAGGGTCTCCTGCTTGAGCAGAGGGTTGGACTAGAAGACCTCAAAGGTCCCTTCCAACTCTGTTATTCTGTATGCTACCTTTGTTGTGGCCTGTCGGCTGCCGGCCCCTCCAGCAGCTGAATCAGAGGTGGAGGCGGAGGTGTGGGAGTCAAAGTCAGCATCAGGGCAACCTGAGAGCTTTGAGGGGGAAGAGGGAATGGAGCTGTCAGAAATAGAGGCAGAGGCAGAGTCTGGGCCATCCGTCAGCCCTCAGATGGAGAGTTAACAGAGCCCAGGTCTGGAGGTGGCTGATGAGGAAGAGGAGGAACAGCTGGGTCCAGTGCCTGACACACAGAAGGCAGAGGAGAGGAGAGTAGTGGAAATCTATGGGG